GTCTACGTCTACGACCCCAACATAGTTTGAGGGAGGGTATTAAGGCCCATAAATCAAGCTGTGATTAGGCCTCTGTTACTCAAAATAAAGTTCTGGAAGAATCATAAAAGGCAACAAGTAGATCCTATCCTTGATTATAATATTTCCTTTCTAGAATGATTTTATTCCTTCTTTGTAATCTTTTTACCGTTGGTCATATCTCTATAAGAGACCTTGTATAGTTAGGAATAAGACAGCTTGTGTTCTTTGTTCTTTTGTATTTTCTTTAATAAAAATCTCTTTCTCGAGACATCCCCTTCCCTTTTATCTATCACGTCGAAGACAACGCAATAAAAACCGACGTCATTACTCGGCGAATGGGCAATAGAGTAGCCACCTTTGTCCCTTTAACCGAGGTCTCTCGTCGGTCAAAACTCAGGCAACCGACGTCCACAAGGAGATAACTACCGACATTAGAGGGCGGTGACAGTTCACCTCTTCATCATGACTGTCGTACAAGTGGCAAACAACCAATCTATGTGGCAGATAATCGCCTTTGACTTTACTGCCGCATTAAATGCGATCACACCTACCTCGTACGGTGGGCCACCGTTCTATAAATGGCGTGTTGGACTCTCAAAAAAAGGATTTTGGGGATCTGGATAAAAAATTGTAGTACGATATTGAACGAACGTGAGAAATATTCAATAAATTCTGATGTCCTTCACACATGGAACCGACGTCTTGTTCACTACTAGTTAAATTGCATGCAGTTTGGTTGATTACTCTCATATAATTTCGTTGTTAATTACCATATATCAACAGTTCTCATTTGAACCACATCTTACATATATATATTGTATATGTATGATACTTTTTTGTAATAAATTTGAATAAAATGTGTTACTTAATATCTAAACAATTTAAAAATTCAAATGTTTAAATTAATTGATAAATAATTTATAAATCTCTATTTTATTTAAATATGTAATTTTATTTAAAATAATTTTAAATATAGCAAAATTTATTTAGAAAATCGTATCGATCCTACCAGTTCAACCGACTGGTGTTGACGAATTCAATAGCAATATTTTATTCAAGTGAACTAGACTGATTATAAACTAGTTCTCGGTCATCTGGTCGAACTGTGTCCAACAAGATTCAATTTTAAAACGATGGGTAAATCTTGATTAATTTATTTGTATATTTAATTTATAACACAATCGTAATATTGTTTCTCCGTGCATGACACTCACGCACTAGTAATAATTTATAAGTTCTAATATAATAGATTAAAAATTCTGTAAGATAATAAATTATAATTTATAACATAATAACATATAATTTCTAACATAATTTATATACTAAATAAAAATTTGATCAAGAAAAAAATTGCGGACCGGCCAACGATTGCGGCCGCGCACTGTGGCGGTCAACCGATTTGGCTGGCCAACCATGTTGTCAGCCGATCGTCACTGCGCCTGCCGCAATCGACGGCCGAGCCCATTTATAATTTTTTGAGAAAAAAAAAATATGGAGGGCAAAATTGTCGGGTAATTTATTTAAAAAAAAAATATAGAAA